GACGTTAGAATTGGTGACACTCCGTTCCATACTTTCTACTCCACCTCTTCGATTTTGCTCTTCCTGTTGCTGACTGCGAATAACAGTACCTCCCTCAAGATTGCATTTTGTGGCCCTCCGAACTGCGCCTCGACCAGGTCGCTCCAAGTCGGTGGTTCCACCCCGTAACGAAGAGAGGACACCACCCATGCGCTTACCCAGCGTCCCGAGACCTCGCATTATAGGTACATACACTACCCTCCCTGTAGCCGTAGCAGATGCCCGCAAACCACGCATCAATGACTTGGCGACACCAAAAGCTATACCGGTGGTGGAGTACTTGCTGTTGTGTTGTCGATCTGTCATTGCAGATGCCGAAGTTCGACACAATCGGCGTCGACAGTAGGTATCGTCAGAGGCGGGCTGAGAAGCAGTGCCTCCCACGACTTGGAGCGAAGGCGAGAGGCAGCTACCCTCCTCCTCATCCTGCTGCTGCTGCCCAAAGAGAGGACGATTGAAGTTGAGGCTGAAAAGTTGGGAAGACTGCTGATCGGAGTCAGAGTTCACACTAGTAGCGGAAGTGACCGATGCAGTCACCTGTCTACAACTCTCATGGAATGAGAGCAGACGAATTGCATCAAAGGAGGCTGCCACGAAGATCCCAGCTAAGTTGGAGGCGAACACAAAGAGCAGGAGAGACCTAGAAGGCAAGTTACAAATGTAGGAACGTTCGCTACGCAACTAACTGCGTAAACTTTGCTTTTTTGTCGTCAATTAAGAGCAATAGATAAAGCTAACTCATTGGAATAACAGCGACGTCAATACTTTGTAATGCACTCTACCTGGCTGAAAGTGGCAAGAAGAGGTCATGGCTATCTTACATGTGAAAATGAATGAAGTACATGCAAAACTAGGGCAAGGAAAGGGAAAACACGTGTGGACGCGTCAACATGACAAACGGGGTGCACTCTATAGGGCATCCGACACCAAAGGGTGAAGGCCTTACTGATGATGTGCTCCAAGCTGACAGCAGAATGATAATAGGAGACTGTAATGAATCAGGCCTCATCGGGTAATAGACATTAACGCCTTTCGACACCTTCACACTTGAAGGTAGAAGAGGCATTTGAGAGAAACTAGAAATACCGCATTTACTGATTTACGACGAAGGCTTACAACTGTGAATCAGTCTAGTTCAATCCACACAACAACGTAACACGAAGAAAGGGTTTAAACAGGGTCCAAAGACGGCTAAACATGTCCGCAAATGACAAAAAAGCACAATGCACTGAACAGAATCGATTCAGGGACAGCAACGCGCTTCACGTTGACGACCCTCAACACAATGCCGCTCGGTACTCCCAACTCCGTGTTGTCTGTCATCATTTGGGTGCACATGGAAACCCTCATTAGCAAATAACCAAATGTAATGAAATTGCACAAAATGCGATCCTGTGAGAACGATAAAGAAGTCGTAGGTATTGGCCAAAGGAAACATAAATCAGAGGATTGAGAACGACGGAAAACTGGCACACATGCTGTACACCAAGACAGCTACATAGCATTGATTGACACAGGAGAGCTAAACAATAATTTCCATTAACAAAGACGGCTCAAACAAACGAAAACAGCAATTTTGAGGCGACATCGTAGCATGCAACAAAGCCAAGGAGCATGACCATATTAAAGCAACAGAACAAACTCCCTAGCATTGAGAACACTATTACTGTGATGAAGAAGTGGTGCAGTGCTGCTAAAAGCCTCTGTGCAGATGGTACGTTCCAAATCTCAGTCAAGTGGTAAAGAAAGAGGGAAGAAGGAGCAGATGTGGCGTGGACGTGCTGTAGTGTATAACTTTTGCTATTTTCTCTTTGACTTGTGCCCATTACATAGCAAACTTTTAATTCCAACACGATTTCAATCCTTACCACAAATTAT